CTCTTTCCCAGCCAGCCTGCCTTGCCATGTGGGAGGCACCTGCCCACTCACATCATAATTAACAAATTTGTTTGTGGTATTTATTGAAAAGAAGACCCTACCTGTATGAAGCTGCCAGTGACTGTTATTGACTACAGAGATCAAGAATGAGCCATGCTGAAGAGACAAGGAGAGCGTGGAGGAAAGAGGACATATTCCAGAGGACAAAGCAATAAACCATGGGGAACACTGGAGATAGGAGATCCAGGCAGGCTGCTGACACAGGGCTGCTGCATGTCCTGGACCACCCAGCACCAGGCCCAGAGATGTTTGGTGTGTGGCTGCCCAGGTGTGCACCCAGCAGGACTCCATGGCTCCCTGCTCCTGGCTGTGCTGCTCATACAGGACACTTCCCAGGGATGTGGGAAAGCCACGCACAGGAGGAAAATACCCCCTTTCTTCCCAAAGAGCCTGGAGTTCACTTCCAGCCCGAGACTCTGCAAAGCTCACAGGCCTGCCTGGCTACCTGGGTCCACAGGGACACAAATGTCCTGGGCTGTCTCCAGCTGGGTGCAGGGTGAGTCAGTCACTGCCCTCCAGAGAGCAGGACAAAGGGCAGCTGCCTGCTCCAAAGTTTGCTCTCTTGGCACCGAGATTTTCCAGCCCTGCTGGCCTTGCTGAGAAAGCAGGGGACATGCCAACCTTCTCTCTGCCTTGGCTGGAGGTGGGATCAACAGACAACACAGCCTCTGCCCTACCAGTGCCTTTGCTCCTCCCCTCCCCTCTGGGGCCAGGGCTGTGCCAGCCCCGGGCTCTGCAGTGCAAAGGTACCACCACCCCTTCCACCCACCCACACCAGAAACACGTTCTGTTTTTCTGCAGGCAGCACTCAGAGCTCAGCACATCAGCTGGGTGCAGGCAAGATGTTTTACAGCCTTGTCTCCACAGTCTGCTCCATAGCCAGTAATGCACCATGGTGAGGGGGTGAGCCAGATCCCCCCAAGACCTGCAAGGAATGTTAACACTTAGGTCTGGGAGGGGGCTGGAGAGGCAGCTAATTTATTTCCATGCAGGATCCATTAGCACCCTCTAAATCACTGCTGGCAGATGTCTGTCCACTTTCTTTTTAAAGACTGCCTTCCTGGGCAACCCATTTAGTCTTTTATTTTACTGAACAGTTCAAAAAAGTTACCAGTGTGACTTCTCTTTTGCTGCAATATATATGTATTACCCCCTGGGCCAATTTAGAGACCCATTTATTGCCTTCCTCTTGGCAGCCAACCATTTAGACTCTTGAAGACTTTTCACACCCTCCCCTGGTCACCTTCCCTCTACAGAACCGGTTCATTCCATCCCTCCCTGGAGATGTTGGAGATGTTGGTGTTCAGACCTCTGATTGCTCTTGCTGCTCACCTGGGAATCCCAAATGGCTCATGCACTTCTTGAAATGTCATGGCAAGCACAGGGTCAGCACGAGGAAGGCCTTGCAGGTAAGTAGAACACCCTGTTGCACATCTCCCACAGACCACTCTTAACTGTTTCCATTAAGAACTGTGTGTGAGGCCAGTCACTCGGAAGGAGCCTCTTGCTGAATCACTGCTAAGCATGAGCTTTTATACATTGTTCAGGAACTGACATTTTGGAGCTTCCAAGTACACAAGGCTCTTAGTGCAGGGCACAGGAACTAACAGTAAGCTCAGTTTAATGGTTATCCTGGCTCCACCCCTCCCCATCTCAGCTGGAGATGTTACCCTTTGCTCCCTGCCCTGAACAGGAATTTGTTGTTAAAGAGCTATGGGGATTTGCCCTATGACATGAAGACCCATCCAGATGAAAGGCTGTTTCATTGTATGGTCCTTCATACAACTCAGGGATGGAGGGAGATTCCTCCTTCAGCATCTCTTTCCCCCACCTTCCAAGTTACACACAGAGACATGGTGTCACACTCATCTCAGTTTATTGCTTGTGTTCAAACAGCTGTCCTTATTCCAACTGCTGTGTAAGAAACAGATACCAAAAAAAAGGCACTAAAAGGATTTTCTCCATCTGATCATGATTCTATGGCCTCAGTCACATTATGTTAAGGTACATTAAATTTCTAGTCTCCAGCTGGAGAGCAGAAGGCGTTAGTGTTTAACATCCAGTAAAGAGAGTCACTCCTGGATGCTCCAACCTGCATCATGTAGAAAGGGACAGGTAAGGCTGAGCCAGGCTGAAGATGAAATTCTGTAGACAAAAGCTGGCCAAGCCTCCTTTGCCTCATCAAGACTCCTCTTCCTTCCTTACAGAGGTTGCCACACACAGGGATAAGGATCAAACCTGACCATGGGAGGGACAGGACTCACATTTTCAGAGCTCAAAGGCAAATGGAGTTAGGAAAGAAAAAAATTCCATTGTTAAAAAGGTGAGAAAGCCCTTGAAGACAACATATCCCATATATAATGCTCCATTATGGTATGGACTGCCAGTATGCTCTACTTGTAATGGCATCCATTTCCATGTTAAAAAGCAGAGCAGCTGAAGGCCACATTTGGTCTTCATGCACACTTATTTATCCTGCCCAGCAAGTTTTTTTTCTCAAGCACTTCACTGGCATGCTAACACTTCAGATTCAAACTGGAAGTGATTCCCAGCCTGACCATGACAAGTTAAGGTAAACTGGGGCAGTGCCTTACCATGCCTACTCAACTCCACACCCCTCACCAGTTAGTAAAGGAGATCAGCACCTTTTAATTTCTGTTGTCAGACAGCATCAGAAATTATGAGATACCTTTGTCCAGGTTAGTCTCTCTTCACATCTCCCAACAGATTAAGCAAGGAGTCCTTGCACCAGAAAATAGCAGGACACACAGGCCTAACTCTGATGAATTAAAAATACAATTTTATCTCTTACTTAATGTGCAAATTTTTCTCAGGTGGTGTTGGAACTGATACTCTGCTAAGCCAGGAGCAATGAAGACTGCAAGCCATGTCAGACAGCTGGACACAGCATTTCTCCTTCAGCCTGGGTTACACTGCCGGGCAGTCATTCCCAGCAAGGTAAGTGATGCAGGGATGCAGCTGCAGGGCTGAGTGAGGCATTTTCAAATGGTACAACCCATTCAACCAGTGAGGGAACACACAAAAAATCTTGTGGTCATGAGAGGGAAGGACAGGGAGGGTCAAATACGAAAATCTAAACCACGAATGCCCAAATCCAGTAATAAGCTTTTCATCTCACAGGGCATTCTGATAGTGTGACAACCAACTTCATTCCCTTTCCTCCAGGGGCTTACACAACTAGAAACACACCCTTGCAGTATTTCTGACTCAACGAGCTCTGAGCCAGGCTTCTGTCCTTAACTGCAGGTTCCAAACCTCCTTATTATACTAGATTTTTTTCACATAAAATGAAAACAGCAAAACAAACTCCTTATCTCAATATGATTAATGGAAAATTGCTGCACTTGGACTCACAGGTGTTTGGGAGTTAAGGTGGGTGTGTAATGGGAAATTCAGTGCTTGTGAGTGGTTCCAGATTCACAGCTTTGGAAACCCAGTTCCTTACAAATCACAGCATCATCAGCACTCAGACAAGCTTCTCCCCCACGCTGTCCTTCACCCCAACCCTCAGTCATGGCCTGCTGGAGAAGTCAGACTTGGTGGCCAATGGTCCTTGGCTTACAGTACTGAAGGAAAAACAGAAAGTGCTGATTTCCTGGGACACAAGCTGGCACTCACTAGACCACAGATCCAGTGTCACCACTGCATGTTAAAGAGGTCATGGGAAGGTCAGATCATACCACTCTTCAGTTACCATCACACTGCATTCAAACCATGGCCTACAAATAACAGGATCCATCAACCCAAAGCCATCAGAACACTTGTACTGGACTTCAGGCCACTTTAACCACAGCTCCTAACTTGCCTGAATCCACTATAGAAAATCTGACTGTAGGAACCTATAACTGGTGAACTCCAGTGTTCCAGTGTAAACATTATTTATGAGCCATATGCCTATTACAGTTCTCTATGCAGTTATTTCATAACCCTGTGTGAAAATATTGGAACATTAATATTTCCTTATCTAGCAGCCATGTTCCAAGTCCTGTCTTTGTCTGTGAAATACCACTCTGCCTTCTCCCATCCCCACTCCATCAGGGAGTGTGTCATGGCACCAGCCTCATCTGCAAAGACACAGGTAAGGAAAAAGGGTAGAATTCACTCGCTCAGAGGACAAAGTTAATCTTGAGGTTACTGTGAGACATGTTCATTCTGAAAGTGTCATATGGAGGATAAAAACCTATCAGAGTATCAAAGCTGTTGGCTCCTTTTATGTTACTGTTTCAGCTTCAGCTGTGGTCTTGCTAATGTGAGGATCCCCACGAGGGAGGAGAGGACACCACAGAAACCAATCACTCCTGGGTTGGTCTTGTAGATCCCTAGGGTATCCAAGGGGCCTGAGAGATCACAGAGATTCTTCACCAAGTCCAGCAGCAAAGGAGGATGTCTCCTCAGGATCTGCAACAGCAGGAGGAAGACACCGTGCAAACTATCACATTTCACAGAGTTTAGCTCCTGATTGTGTTTGTCCCAGAGGAAACTCTCCTTGGTCTTTTCCTCCTGCACAGCTTGTTCCAGCCTCCAGGAGATCTCATACCCATCCCTGGCTAGATTCATCAGGAGGGAGACGTAGTAACACTTGGCAGCCCAGCGGCGCCACTTGGGGGTGTCCAGGTGGGGCTGGAGCCCCACGCTCCGCAGCCACAGGAGGGCATCGCAGGCGAAGTAGAGGGCCCGGGTCAGGTTGGAGGCTGTGAGGCAGAAGCGAGCGACCACATCTGGCAGCTCCCTGCTCCTCCTGGCTGCCACCAAGGCGTGCACCATGTTGCCCAGTCTGAACACTGCAAGAAAGCCCACAAAGGTTAGCACGGCCTGGCCTCTCCCACAGCCAGACACACGTGGCCCTCAGCAGGGCAGCTCAACATGCCACTGTCCACATGGGCTTGTAAAAATCTTAATGGGCTTTGGGCGTTTCTGTGCTTCAGCGTTTTCTTCTGACAGCAGGAGAAGGCAGGGTTAGTGAGGGCAGGGGTGCTCTGTCCCTACAGGACCTACACACAACCTCTATCAGTCTCCAGGACTTGCAGCCCTTACTGCCACTCTGCTCTCAGCACCTGGGTACCCTCTGCATCAGTATCACCAATGGCTCCAAATGAGCCAGTGTCAGCAGAAAAGGGACATGAACAGCCTCCACTTGCAGCTGCACACCTCCCTGGACTTCACCTAACTGTGGGCAGGAGATGTTCACTGCACCAACCCTGTTGCAACCACCAGCTCCATCTTTCCTAAGCTTTTGTGAATGCTGGTGATTCACCTGTCAAGCACACAGAGACCCAAATCCCTCCTTAGGCCTGTATTTGTCAGAGGTGCCCACAGCTCCCTGCAAACAGGAACAGGATATTCCCTTTCAGGCTCCAATCTATGGCCAGCCCAATTCCATCCGCTGTGCAGCTCAGGTTTCATCCCGTGAATGTTAATACAATATTATGCAAAATACTTTTTATAACCTGCTGCACACTCACAATGACAACACCCAAGCTTAGTGGGACTGCAAGAGCCCTGAGTTTAGGCTTGATGACTATGAGATTTGTTTAGCAGAAGCAAGAGAATTACAGCTATGCTGCTAAACCAGCTGGCCTCTCTGCTAGAAATGCCCAGCCTCTGGAGCTAACTGGAATAACAATACACACGGTAACACATTAAATTAGAATATTTGCCTCATCTGTTGAAGCTGTGCCAGGATTGAGCAACTGATAAGTAGGTGTAAGATCAACCCTAAGGCAGGCAACACAACCACAGCAACACGTGACCCTCAGGGATGCAAGTGTGAAGCAGAACAAAGTGAAGCAAAGGGTGAGACTATGAGAAGAGCATGGAAGGGGATATGATTAGTAGAGTATAAAAAGCTAATGGAAATGAATATGAAAAAGCCATATTGAAGGATGGTCCTTCGGAGGTTATTTTATTGGGATGATGATCTCTAAGTTCAGGCCACCTCAAGCCCTTAGCTGGAAGGACTAAGGAGCGTGCAGGAAGTGACCCTTGCACAGTAACTCTGTGCTCTGTCCTTGGACACAGATGTCAGGTCCACCTCTGCAGCAACAGCTGGCTGATAACTTATTTCTCCAGTTCTCCCAGTGATCCTTCAGGCTGCCTAACTGGAGGAGGCTGAGGAACTAACAAACACCTACTCTGCCCTCTCTATCCTGGCAGGGATGAGGTCTGTTGACAAGTCTGTGAATATACTACAAGAGGCTGTATGGCTCAGGGTAAGCTAACTACAGAGAACACAAGGCCAGGAGCTGCTTTGCTGGGAGGAGCAAGTGAAGCACTTATCCCTCTAGACACCAGGTACTTACTTTTCCGGCCAGAGCTCATGCTAGATTCCAACTGCTTGAGCTTCATTACCAGCTTCTTTTTATGAGGCTTATGCTCTATTAAATAGCTAAGCAACATGCATGTGTACTGAGTGGCTCTGGAACGGAAAAAAAACGAGGAAAACGGGAGAGAGGTGAAACGGGGACGATTCCCAGGGACGGCAGCAGCAGCGGGGCAGCTGGCGGGGTCTCCCCGGCGGCAGGGCCGGGCTCTGCCCGGGGGAGGGGCAGCACAGGCCGGGGGTGGGCAGGGCAGGGTCTGGAGCCCCCCGGGATCGGGAGGCTGGAGATCCAGATCTGGAGATCCGCCCCCGGGGGGCCCC